TAATTTACACAAATTAAAAACTCAGGTAAATTAGAAATTTAGGTAAATTAATCTTTTGGTTTAAGGAGCTTTGTGACCTCAGTGGGCTCCAAAGAGCAGCAGGAAAAAAGGGAATTCCTGAGTTCCTTCCTTAATTCAGCACCATGGAAAACACAAATCCATCCTTGARTCTAAAAGCAACTCAATCTTATAACTGGTGTTAATTAAAACCTCTCTTGATAATTGATATTAATTAAAAATTCTCTTGATAAGTGGTGTTTCACAAAGTTTTCAGGTTTGCTGCTCCAATCCTTCAGCCCCAAAATCCTTCCTGGCTGCAGAAGAATCTCTGAGAAAAACTGGGATGCCTAAAAAAACTGGGAATAAACCAAAAATTTACYTTTGTCCTCTCTGTGTTTTGTTTTTGAAGATTACAGATATAAAAAGGATGAGCTGTTTAAAAGGCTGAAGGTGACAACTTTTGCCCAGCTGGTACGTACAGATCCCCCCAAAATCTTTTAAAAGCACCATTTTTCCTTGGAATAAAAATTCCTCCCTAATTTTTTAGCTTTAKTGTGTAATTAATCTGTCCTTGCTTCTTTTAATAAAAGCAAATYTTTCATTTCCACAGTGGTGAAATGCCTTTAAGTTACAAATTTAAATCTGTAGTGACTTCATCTTTCGAATTTATTCTTTATTTTATTTGTCCATAAACTTAAAAAGATTCCCAAGCCTTTTGCAAAAGACCATAAAACAGCACCTAAATCTGAATTTTGTGTCAAAAAAACCCTCCCTGACCTCAGGTTTAACTGCAGTAAGTGGGCAGGTTGGGACTTCAGGGATTTCTGTGCATTATTTTATTTTAAAAAATGAATTATAATATTAAAAAAGTGAAAAATTGATCAGGAAATAAAGAGGTGAGGAGTGCTGGTGCAAGAAAACTGCTTAAAACTAGAAAAAAAAATTGTCTTCTAAGGAGAAAGGAAAGGGATGGTGGAGATTTGTGATTTTTTTTTTCCCTGGATTATTAAAACCGACACTTGGCTTGTTTTCCCTTGAGCTGTGTTTCCCTGCCATGAGGATTTGGGGATCAAAACCTCTTTATTTTTGTGTCTTTCAGGTCATCCAGGTGGCCTCTCTGTCCAACGAAACCTTGGAGGTGACAAATGAGGAGCTCCAGAAGCTGCAAGGTGACAACATTAAAGGTAGGAACAAAGGGGCAGAGCTGGAGATCACTGCCATGGGGGAATTGGGACCTGCAGGCAGAGCTGGCAGCTCTTAAAAATAAAAAAAAATAGAGAAAAATAAAAACTCCACCTGTGGCCTGCAGCAATTCCTTTCTGGGAATAGAAAGATTCCTAAAAAACAAGGGTTGGGAAGTATAAAAAGCCTCCTGGTGGCAGATTTGTTGTAGTAACAGCATAATCCACATCAAAAATTCTATTTTATTGAGTTTCCTGAGCCTTAAAACTTCATTTGGCTCTTTATTATTTTTCATAGGAGGCTCTGAGTGAACGCTGCTCCTTAAGAGGATGAAGATAAAGCCATCACCCTTTTTTTTTTTTTTTTTCCAARAATAGAATCTGCCYTTAAACCCTGCTCTTTAACTCCTCTTTCCCCAGATCCTGAGGCTGCAGGGGAAGATGCAGCGGGGCCAAACAGCAAAGGAAGCTCTGAGGGGACCCCCAGCCCCATCCTGTTCCTGAACAACGCGGGAGCCGGGGAATCTCCTCGCTCCACGCTGCAGAGGTGCCTCAAAACAACTCCATTTTCTTCCTGTGCTAACATGGGATTATTCCAACCCACAGCTGCTGATTTTAAATTGCTGCTGAGTGGTTTTGTGTTGTGTTTCTTATTGAAGCCTGAGAGGGAGGGCATTGACAAGTTTTCATGTTGGAATTAGTTTGGGTTGTTACCAGGGATGGGCTGACAAGGAAATGTCTCTGTGGGATTCCTGTCGTGGGTTTAAAACCTGATTTTTCCCAATTTCCC